AAAAGTATAACCAATATCTGATGACCAATAATATTTTTTAATTGCCAAGAACAACAAATTTGTCTCAAAAACATATAAAGCAGATGGGAAGTATTGATTGTATCTGATGATGAGACAGATTTTTTAGTCTTCTCTATATTTCTAAATGTTTCTATATAATGTATCATGTTCATAATGAAAAAGATTATTAAAACAAAAAATGTTAAAGATAAACTATTCATGGTTATCATGCTACCTCTCATTCTCAGTGAAAATATGTTGTCAACTACTTGCATGATTTAAACAAGTCCTTTCAAAATGTTAATGATGGTGAACTGACAGCAATCACCAGTTCAATTCCTATTAACATGTGGCATTGTTCATGCTGTAATTGCAGGCCATTGTTAAGTACAATTATCTCAATTTAGAATCCAAGGCAGATGATGCCTGTTTATTTGGAATGTCTACAATATGCCAGGTGTCCTAGAAAACATGCGTCTGAATGATCACCTGAGCTTGGAAGCCTGTATGGCACTGCACATGTGTTTACATGGTTTTACATATGAAAGGCATACCATAAACAACAAAAAACAGAAACATTACTCTTCTTAGGAAGGTTGTTTTATGGTATGTTTTTTTGGTTTTGATTTTCATATTTTAAAAATAAGATATGGAAAAAGCAATTGCTATTTTAACTATTTTTAAATATTATTGAAAATTACTATTTTTAAATATTATTGAAAATTAAAATTTTTTAGCAATAATGAGTGCTGGAATGCACATTTTATCAGGACTTTGTAAAATTTTGAGGATTCTGAACCTTAGAAGTACTAAATCAAATCAGATACAGGGGCTGAATAATATTTCATATTAAGTTGATCACATTAACTGTTTAGCCTACAAAAATGGACTAAAAGTGTAGCCAAACACCTAGTAACTAGCAATAATATCCAAATGCCAAGTACAATTAATTATGTGCCTTCAATATAACTGCAATTAAAAGCAATTATTTTATGTAATGCTAAGGTAGAATATTCTGTATTAAACCAAAATATTTTCTAAATACTTTACCTATAATTTGATTTGCAAACACTATACCAGTTAATTATACTAGCATCAAAGTTATTTCTGTTAAATGAGTTAATGTTATGAAGCTCCACCAAGTTAAGAAATACATAATCCAAAATAAATGATATGAAGGCAAACACTAGAACATTTTAGATGCAGCTGAGTGACACATTTCTGGGATTATTCTCTGGCTGGTGGCCTTTTTTTGTATACTGGTTTATCTATATCACATTTCAATTTTTTCACCCCTCCAAAAATATCTCCATGAAAATTGAATTAGTTTCCCACTCTGCCCATCTTCTTCTGGGGAGCCGTCACCAGGGTGCTGTGCAGATGACTGAAATGAAGTTTATCTTGAACTTTCTCAAACAAATGCTCACAGATTTTCTATGCCATGTGTCTATGTTAGACACACTCTAAAAATATGTATGCTTTACCAAAACATTACAGGATGTTTTACAACAAAAAATGTATATTCCCAAATAACTTCTATGCAAAATTTTTGCTTACTTTTGTATTTTTTATGCCTCTTTCAATAAATATGCCCTTCTTGTTGTCACTCTTATAATTAGAGTGAAATAAATCATTCAATTTTCTTTTTAATATAATTTTAGAACAATTTCCCTATTGTCAATCAATACTTAAATAGGAATGTATAATATTCTATAAAATTTGTCATATTATTTTTACTTAAATGCTTTGCTCACACATGGGAATTTCAGTTTTTTCAAATTTTCTCTACTTCAGGACAAAATAACTATTTTTTACACATTCTGAGAAGGTGAACAAAACATATTATGATCCAGCAGTTGTTTCTAGAACAATTAAGTCACCCAATTCCCTGTTTCTATATCTTTCTAACAAGGTACTCTGAGACTAGCATTCAATTCTTCAACCGATTATTCATTTTGCCTTGTTATCAATGTCTTCTATAGCACTTACTATATTCTATATATTATTGAGCACACTTAATAAATATCAGCTCATCTTTTTCTCTAAAATCCTCCGAGGATTATCCCTATTTTTTCAGATAAGAAGATGGGATGGACGGAGTAGCTTCCTCCAGGGCACACAGCTAGCTCAGGACCCCAAACCACCCAATTCCACTAAAGTAGGCTGATCCTTGCAACCAAAATCCTAAAGACAGGATTTTTAGCTAGTTGATTTCTCCCAACAAACTGATGGATACAATAGTGACACTGTTTTGTTTTGTTTTGTTTTTGACACAGTGTCAAGCAAAAATCTGCATAGAAGAACTAGAGAAAGGCTGCTGGTATTTCTGCTCTGTTGCTTAGTGGATTTCATAGACATGGGTTGGTTCTCGTACACAGAGCATACTTTGGAACTAGTTCCAGCTCCATCCGGGAAAACTTGCTTTGAGGGCCTTTTATAAGTCAGGCACATTTGTGACAGACCCCAACATGAAGCACAGCATACTAAGCGAAGTGTCTACCCATAACTCAGCCCGTAATCTGCTCTATTTTAGCCAAACCTTGGGAGGTGAAGATTTTAGAGGGCAAAAGCTATTTTATTCAGCATGTTTGCAGTTCAACTTTAGATCTGGTCACTACAAGATGGCAGGGTGACCCTGGGCAAGGGCAAACACTGTATCCTGAGGAATGGGCTTTTCTGGAATCCTCCTGCATGCAGGGCACTGGGGTTTCGTGGTCTGCATATGGGTCTTGGTAAGTTCTTTCTGCCTCTTCATGGTAAGTGTGAGTTGCTGCTTATTTTTGTACTGAGAGTAGGTTTGCTTAGGCCTAGTACTCCAAGTTTAACCTAGCGCATTTTAGGACACAATCCAGCTTGAAACAGATTGCTGACTATTTAAGTGAAGAAGCTGGCTTCACTGGAACAAAAAAGGAAAACATTTCTAGATTGAAAAAAGTGTTAGAGAACGGGAACTGCAAGAGTGGGAGAAAAACATATCTGTCGGAAAGAGCCAAGACACACAACTTAAGGAGAAAACATCTCCACCCAACAAGAAACGCAGCTGCCTTCAGCAAATACCACAGAGAGGGTGCTTGAAGACGCCTCATTGATCATCTTGCCCAAGGACTGATAGAAGTTTAGGGCTTGTGGAATTTGGCACTGGGCGTGCTCACATCCTTGGGGACACTGTTTGAGTTCCTGTGTGTTTACAACACACAGTGACTCAGAGTTATGGATAGTTTTGTTGTTTTTTCCCCACTTATTGAGTATCAGCAACAGTAAGAACACTTTACAGAAGAGTAGCATTGCCCTAGTATCTCTGTGCAATTAGGTTTGAATTTAGGACAAGAGCAATCCATATTTTTAAGCCCAGACAACTGAAGAATAGAGGAGAAATTCATGATAAAATACAGAGCATTCCTAAGATTGCAAACTCAGGATTGTTTTTTGTTTGACTTAGACTTACTGTCAGTGTGATGATGAGTGTGGTCATTCCTTAGCAATTTCCGAAGTGGTCACAGAGAATGGGAAGAAAATCACTGAGTGAAAATGCAAGTGAACAAGGAGTGATCAGATCACTCATGGAAAAAAAAAATCAATGACGTATCCATTGCTCTAAGAATCTCTCAGTGTAGTGGATCTAGATTTAAAGTTTTCTAGATTTAAAAAAATTAGCATTTTAAGATGTTAAAAAAAAGAGGCAGGAATTAATTAGAGGACAAAGAGAAAAAGTATTGAACTATTCAACATTATGTATTCTTTGATGAAAATGTTCCCTGTCTCTTGCAGTTTGGTTTCATTCTGATGACTATTATTATGCTTTTATCTGACCTGTGACTGCCTGTTTGTGGATAGTTTATATCTCACAGGATGGAGGACTTGAAATAGAAACAAAAGGATATGGAGGTTGAAAGCACCAAGATCACACATGAGATCCTAATAGCTAAAAAAGATAAGATCAAGGATGTGGCAAGGCACTTAGTCATAGGAAATAGGTACAAGTAGGCGGCTGTTGTAGAAGAAGAGCGGAAGCAATGGATCAAGGAACATAAGTACAATGAAGGGTAACAGTCTTATAAGAGTTGTCCACATGGAAAACAAGTTTTCTAGATTTAAAAAAATTAACATTTTAAGATTAAAAAATTAGCATTTTAAGTTAAAAAAAAGAGGTAGGAATTAATTAGAGGACAAAAAGAAAAAGTATTGAACTATTCTACATTAAGTATTCTTTGATGAAAATGTTCCCTGTCTCTTGCAGTTTGGTTTCATTCTGATGACTGTTGTAATGCTTACTAAATTGCCATGGGTCTCATGCCCTTTGTATATATTTTGCAGAAAAGAACACATTATGATCACAGGATCTATAAGTCAGGAATGCGTTTATTTAATCCTTCTTCATTTTTTAAGGATACTTAAATTTTCCCTCAGTCTTTTTAGAACTGTAGTTCTAAAAGATTTTCATCAGACAGTGGTGACTGTTACTCAATTACGTATTTCTGAATTGATTAAAATTCATAGAAACAGGGTTGACTTTTTATTTAATGTTTGTGAAAATCTAATACCATTTTTGCTTCTGGTATGTACACAACTACCACTCTATTTCTATTATTATTGAATTGACCAATAAAGGCAACAAGTTGAATTATGAGCATAAGCTCTAGGAGGTCATGTTCAGTCTCAAGAAGGTCAGCTCTGCCAGATCTGTTCTATTTCAGTTGCACAAAAATGGTGCTAATAGATCACAATCAGTTTAATATAAAATTAACTGGTGAACTGAAGTCACCATCATTTTATTTTAAAACATTTTTTCAAGAAGTCTTGATCTACATTTATCCTGTGACAAAATAAAAATTATAAACTAATAATGGACTCAGTAATTGGTTTCAAAATACAAATATCTAAGCAGATTTTTGGGGGTTAGCATATGTGATTTTTAATCTCTAGAGCTAAAGAAACTTGCAAATTTACAGTGGAATTGGCTATTGCATTTAAATTGTCTTTTCTCTTTTTTTTTTTGAAAGGTGGATCTTCTTGTCCCTACCAAAGTGACTGGCATCATTACGCAAGGAGCAAAAGATTTTGGTCATGTACAGTTTGTTGGTTCCTACAAACTAGCTTACAGCAATGATGGAGAGCACTGGACTGTATACCAGGATGAAAAGCAGAGAAAAGATAAGGTAAGAGAAAATAAAACATAAAGATAGCTGTGTACATGCCAGAAACAAGTGACTTATGAAGTTCAGAAGTGGAGGCTCAAATTTCATCCGGGTATGGTTGAATGACCACTTATGCATATGCACTGAAAGTAGTGTCTACATATATTGAAAATGCCTATCAAATAAAAGACTTCAAAGATTAGTACTGTAAAGGAATTTATAGTGCAATGGTGCAACCTACAGGGAAAAATTACTGAAAACATTTTCTATATTATCAATTATCTAAGATCGGCCTATGCAAAATTCACCTTTATGTTTTATAAACATAATAGAAGCTTGAATAATTTATTACAAGGCACATGTAAATAGTTATTGCTGGAACTCATGCTACTGTTATTTTCGTTATTAATATATATATATATAACCAGTGTCGGAAAAAAATGTTTTTTGGAGAAAAATATTTCAAAGCTTAACAAAATTATTTTTAATCATTTTATATTTCCTGGATTATTGTAACAATTAGGAAATTTAGAAATAGACCAATTTTGATTATATAGCTCATCAAAATTAAAAAAACAGATAGTTTGCTCAGTTTCCTTGATTATATTTTATTCATAGATTTTTTTCATTTTTCTTTGAAATATATCATCTATTTTTAATCATATACTTACACACCTGTATACACATACCATATAGTTCTACACAAACAATTTCTAATTTTTAAAATTTTTGTTTACCATTTTGAACCATCTTTTCATAGTATCCACTGGTTTCAATATCTGTGGGATCTTGGAGAATGAAAATTCTCAGGCAATATCAATGACTAGTTGGGATCAGAAGTTAGAATATGGTCTCAGTTGGACTAATGAAATTGAGTTAATTCATTATTCAGGAGCCTTTTTATGGCAGGGTATGGTAGTTCTTGCCTGTATCCTAGCACTTTAGGAGACTGAGGCAAGAGAATCATTTGAGCCTACAAGTTTGAGACCAGTCTGTGCAACATAATAAGACCTCATTTCTACAAAAAATGCAAAAATAATTAAATATCTGGAAGTGGTGGTGTGCACCTGTAGTCCCAGCTACTAAAGAGGCTGAGAAGGAAGGAGCATAAGAGGTCAAGGCTGCAGCGAGCTAGGATCACTGCACTGCACTACAACTTGGGCAACAGAGTGAGACCCTGTCTCAAAGAAATAAAAAGTTTTTGTGAAGAATGCTACATACAACAATCTCATATATGCTAATTATTTCTGAGTTACTAATTAGTTATATTATCAAGCCCCCTTATTCCCTTGCTGTTATTGCATTATTGACTGACAGAAAAGTTCAAGTGTTCAAGACAAAGAATTTATACATTTCCCCAGAAACGACCTAGAATAGCTATTTTAGTGATTCAGCAGAGTCTGAATTCAGTTCACACAAAATTTATTTTAGGAGACATGTTTTTAGGTTTGGATTTAAAAAACCACATCGATTCAAATTTTAACGTCTCAGAAAACACCCAAGTAACATCTCAGGATGCACACATTTCACATGTTAACATCTTAGAAGTTGGTATATCTTAAATGTGACAATTTATTTGGGAGCACTTATTCTTTCCTAGAAGAACACAAGGCAATGGTATGGCTTATTATGAGAAACTTCTTAGATTGAATGAATATTGGTTCTTTTGCAAAATTGTCTTCATATTTATATTATGAGCTATGGAAAAATGTTTGTCATAATTTATTGCAAATGGCGCTTTCAGTTCCTGTTTTTCACCTGTTGCAGTGACCATTAGGATGCATAGTGTATGTCTCCTAAGGTGAAGTTTCTTAAACTTCACAAATAATACAGGCTTGAAATGCACTTTAAGACAGATAGTATTGTCATCCATTGTCCCTGTGTATGACTCAGTAAAAAATACCTTTATAGTGGTGTAATCTTTATACAGGTTAATTAAGGGAAGAAATGTAAAGGAAAATATGGTTAAACCATTGAACTGTTGAAATGCTTCTTTGTCTTCATTAATAAAATATTTTATTTAATATGTGAATAATTTTTTTCTTAATTTACAGGTTAGACATTCTCTTATCATTTTGTTTTATTTCATTATCTCAACCCAAAACTGATGCAAAATTTTTGAGTCAAGTTGGTCAGGTTGCTTGATACTGTTGTTTAGAAAATATCAATTGCTAAAAGAGGCATGTGGAAATTTTCAGCTATACTTTTGAAATTGTGTATTTCTTTGCTATCATATCAGTGTTTGCTTCATTTATTTTGAAGCTCTGTTAAAATATACATAAACAGAATGTTAATGTACTTTGAATCAAATCACCCCATTATCATTAGAAAATGTACTTCTGTATCCCTGGTAATATTTTTCACTCCAAAATCTACTTGTCTGATATTAAAAGAAGTATTTCAGCCTTCTTTTTATTAATGCTACATTGGTATAGTTTTTAGTGTATGTTTTCTCCTCATCCTTTTACTTTTAATCACTTGTACTCTATATGTGAAATGCATGTCTTTTATGTAGCATATAATTTGGTCCCCTTTTATCCAGTCTTTCTCTACTTTTCAAGTAGAGCATTTAGATCATGTTTATTGGATGGTAGTAGTGACTGAATTTAAATCTATCATCTTGCTGTTTGTTTCCTACTTGTCATTGCTTTTTGTGTGTATTGTTTCTAGTTTCTGCCCTTCTTTTGGATTCATTGAATTTTCAGTGATTCCATTTTTCTCCTATGTTGACTTATAAAGTTTTGTTTTGTCATTTTAGTGATTAGGATTTGTGGTGTACACTTTACTTACAAAATCTACCTTCAAATGAATGTAAGACCAGAAACTTGCTTCCATAAACACAAGCAGAATAGATTATAGCTATAAGTTCATGTACTTAGGAGTCATATTTATTATACCATATGATTTTTACATGACCAAAATAAATCTTTTAAAATTGCTATATCATAGGTGTGCATATTTGGGGGAATACATGTGATATTTTAATACCTGTGTGCAATATATAGTGATCAAGCCAGAGTAATTGAGACATCTATCACTTCAAAACATCTAATCAAAATGAATCTAATTGTAAAGAAAGATAGGCTCCTGCTAGTCAAGTTGGAAAATTTTCAGAGTAGATTGTCACATGCTGTTTACGAAAAAGAATGTAATGCAGAATTCTCGTGTGAGACAATAAGTCACACTATTATTGTACAATGTAAACATTTGTAAAAAAACTAAGTCATTTTAATATTATAAACATTTGAAAGTTGGCTAAGCTCAGCCAATGTAACTGGTAGTTTTAAAAATCAAATCTAACCAATTTGTTTATAATATTATAACTATTTAGATAGCATAAAGAAGAGCCTAACATAAAAACTTATGTTTACAATTCGTTATTGAAGAAGACAACTGATACCAATCAACTCTAGATAGAAATGCATTCATTAATATTACTTATAAAGAAATCCTTTACATAGAAGAAGAAACTACTACTGCTTCATTTTTACATAGAAGGAAATTTTGTAAAATAGATTAAAAATGTGTTGCACAAGTTATTTCAACACTTGGAAACACAGGCATTTTATATATATAAACATACAAATACACATATATCAATCAAAATGTTTTTAATAGATAATAAAATAACCATTTTTCTTTGTTGTTGTTACTATTATTACTAGATAGCTTACCTATAATTTCATATCTCCTTTATAGGTATGCTTTTCTCTTTTTTAAATAAATTTTTCATTTTAAATATGTGGGGTATAATTCAGAGTTAGGTATACAGATGTTCATTGTGTAGGTACCCTTGTTGATGAGGTGTGCCCCCCTCCCCTGGCAGTTTCCCACTACTGCCACTCCCACCCCTCCCCTTCCCTGGCAGTTTCTCACTACTGCCAATCCTTTTCTTACAGTATTACCATAGGTGTTCAAGGTCCGCTTATGAGTGAGAATATGTAATACTCGGTTCTTTGTTTCTGAGACAGATCACTCAGTATTATGGCCTCTAAACCCATCCAAGTTGCTGCGAAGTTCATAATTTTGTCCTTCGTTATGACTGTGTAATATTCCATTGTGTATATGTACCACATTTTAAAAATCCAGTCCTCTTTTGATGGGCAGCACGGTTGGTTCCATGTATTTGCTGTTGTAAATAATGCTGCAGTAAACGTGTGTGCAGGTATCTTTTTCATAGAGTAATTTGAGTTTCTCCGGGTGTATTCCCATTAGGGGGATTGCAGGGTCGTATAGAAGGTTGATTTTTAAATCTTTTAGGAATTGCTGCACTGTTTTCCACAGAGGCTGTACTAGTTTATACTCCCACCAACAGTGTAGAAATGTTCCCTTTTTGCCACATCCTGTCTAGCATCTGTTATTTTTTGAGTTATTGATGATGGCCATCCTGACTTGAGTTAGGTGGTATCTCAGTGTGGTTTTAATTTGCATTTCCTTGCTCTTCTCTTTAGAAGAACCCAACACTACTTAGTAATTAATATTTATGTGGTTGAATGAGCTATCTATTGCCTACCAACTCTTAATATTATTTGTGTGCTGTTTTCTATGGTTTCTGTCCATAAGAGGAAACATTTCACTTCGATATTTATAAGTGAAAATTCAACTACCTACTTTCATCCAGACAAATATGATAAATGAATTTGAATATTTCAGGGCAAAACATGTGGCTGTGAGGTTTTATAGGTGTACTTTTCAAACAGAAATATTGATAAGGAAAAGTTTCTAACTCTTCTTTTGTACCTTTTGTTTTTATTGACTGCTTGCTTTAATAGATGTGGGGGCATGGATTTGAGAGTATAATGTAAACCCAGATACAAGATTACTTCAGAAAAGCAATCTCAGCAATTTGAAACAAGAATAGTGAATTCTAGGTGGTGTAGAATTCTAAATATGTGTGAATGCCCTTTCTGTTTTTTATTAGTCAGAACTGACAGCCTCAGAAAACAATGCCAAAGAAAAATTATATATGTATATGAGAGTGTCTAAACAGATGGGCAAATGCATGTGTATATGTGTGGTAT